GGTGTGTGTATTGGGGGGGGGGGACGGACGGGGAAGGCTTTGGGGAGGGTTCAAAAGCCGTTCGCTGTTAACTAACGTTAGCTCGTTTCTGTGCTGACCCTCGCAGTCTCCACGCGCCCTCGCAGCCGCTGGGAACGTCCGTGCTGAAGCTTTTAAAACGCCACCCGGCAAACGAGACAAACGTCCCAGCGACCATATCCCTGCCTGCGAGCGTAGTCTTTGAATACGATGCTAGACCGAAAGGTGCTGATCCTGTTCCCGACTCCCGGCCTTGGCGGCTATCGCTGCCCAGCAGCGGATGCCTGGGCCCCAAAGGGCTCTTAAACCTGTCTTTTGGTTGCATGTTTTTTGACTTTCTCCAATCGGGCAGCAACGGCTCAGTGTCGCAGCATGACCTTCCAAAATAGACCCTGCTAGTAATTAGTCAACCCCCGTTTCGGCTAGCACAGCTCTGCTAAAATCCAGAAACGAGTCCGCTGTTAGGAAGGGGCTGACAGGCCCCCGAGAGGTCGCCGCTTCGGCTGCGTGCTGCCCTGCTGCGGCTAAGCGAGACCGCCGGGCCCAGCCCGCTCCGAGCCTGAGCGACTATCTCGCTGTCCCACTGAGTCTCTGTGCCTCGTATATAAAATAAAACCAAACATTGTAATATTCGTCTGCATCACTACTTAGGGTTTAACCTCTTCACGTAGTATTTGCTCTGAAATAAATTGTAAAATGGAGGGGGGGCCTTAAATGTACATAAATTGCTTTAATAAAACTATTTGTATACCAAATGTCAGCATAGACGTTCCATTGAGGGTCACTTTTTTCCTTAGAAGTCAAGTCAGCGCTATCTGAAACAGCAGAAAGTTAGTTCTCGCACTTCATAACTTCTAAGCCTTAGTATATAAAAATCTTATTTCTATCAGCAGTCTCAAGTTAAACCTTAGACAGGTGAAGCTGTAAACTAGCATCTAGAGTATCTGGTTTTTAGCAGCTTAAACTGAACTAAACTTAAACCGAAGAGGAAAGAAGCATACTCCCGTTAAATACTTTCCCCCCTTTTCCAGCGATAGTGGGCCATGGTATCACAGCCGGGGAAGCTACTGCTACTGGCTCTTCTGCTATACTGTGACCTTCAAGATTTTACATGAAAGCAAGCAGTATGCTTAATTATACAGATTTCTCAGGACCTTCTGTGCATATCCCATGATCATGGAATATTTAAAATCATAATTTAAAAAGCTGCCATTCTCACATGAAAAACAAACATTATTTAACACCAGCTACCCTCAACTGGTTGTAGGAGGTTAAAACAAGCCTGTGCCCTTCTCTAGATAAAGCGAGCTGGGTTTCCTATAATTAGGTGCACTTTAACTTGTTTTGGTAGAGGACCGTGGTTTAGATAGGGGCTGAAAAGCTCATCATCTAAAGCAGGTACTCTAATTTAAAAAGTCACTTCCAGCCCCTTAAGAAAAATATGTGCCGTTGGAAAACAAAAACAAAACAAAATACCCAAGCTTTCCCCTTTCCTAATCAAATCATTGATGTTCAGCATTAAAACTTCACAGAGTTAGGATCAATCTTGAGGTACCCCCCCCAAGGAGAAACTGTATTGTATCAGGTGCGTTCCACTTGTTCCCAGCTAATTCCTTTAACAGCATTCTGTCTCGTGAGAGCCCAGTGACAAGAATTTTACAGGCTAACGGTTAAGAGCTCATAACTGTAATTTTCACAAGCCCTTTTGCACACTAAAAACTAGAAGAACCTACGTCTGACTGAACCAAGAGAACAGCAGTTAAGTAGCTATGCTTTGCTCTGTTTCGTTAAGATAGGTCCATCAGGACTTAGGCCAGTCTTTCCAATGAATTTGATGGAATGACAGGTCAGGTAAAATATCTGCTGCGGATTGCTCCTTTGCTGCAGTATCTTTGTCAGCTATAGAACTACATTACCATATCGTCCTCTCTTCCTGAGAGCTGGCTTTGGTATTTACACAGTACCCTTCTCATTGAGGCTTTAGATACGAAAGGAGCTATGCTCAGAAATACCTTTTATGGTATTTCTGGGGAAAATTGAAATGCACGGTTGGTAAGCAGCTTTATTACGAAATGTGAAAAATAGGAATAACTCCTCTGCCTTCACTTCCCGCTCCAATTGCAAAGAAATAAAACTAGGAAACAATACCCTAAAGAAAAGGATGCCTAAAAACGTTAAGCGAGTGACCAACGAATGAGATTTGTGCTTCAGTATTTGAGTGCACCAGCCTGTACTGAAAAATCTGTATCTTTAAGCAATGTGTGCTACAGCCACTGTAAAACGTATGCATCCATATTAATCAAGCTGCTAAACTTCTTTTCCTCCCCCATTTATATAAACTGATCCTATTGTGAACAGAAATATTTGACTCGCCAAAGTGTAGAACAACAACGTTTGTCATGCTGTCTATTTTGCTAGGTTATAGCTCATGCTCCTACCGTCTATGACAACTTTCTAAATGGTGTTCCACGTTTTTCTCTTTCAGGATGGTAGAATAGCAAGCAGCGGTGATTTCCTGTGTTTTGGAATTTTAACGTCAGCACCACTTACTGTCTATAGACAGCTGTGGCTAAAGGTGAAAAAGAAAGTTCTCTATGCATGATAAACCTAAAAACTAGGAATAAAGCATTAGCATTTTGTACTGTGGACAATTCAGGAGGTAGTTCTGTTGCTCCATCTGATACGTGCATTTGCTTAAAGACGACACTTTATAGTTCTAGGTGAGTAAAGAACCACACACTGCATGGATTTCTTTTTTTGTTAATTTTTGCGCAAATTACATTCTGTATTCATACAAAAACAACGTAACTTTTCTGACAAACTGTACATATAGAAACAAGTTTCTGTCTGGAGGTGAACTGAAATCTGTGGAGGTGCTCCATGTCTCACAACACTAAAAAAAATTCCAGCTCTTCACAAAACAAAGTAGGTAAAAGAAGGTGAGGAAAACGGGGATGGAGAGGACAAAATGGAAACCTAGCTACAATATTGCAGCTAGTAGCAGTTGATTGATCTAGGAAAAGACCCTTGTTAGGAACTAATGCACATTCAATTATCCCAGTTAAGAATCCAGGTTTGCGGTGTTGCAAGTTTACTTTCTCTTTGAGTCCAGAGTAGCAGTTTATTTAAATATTGTCCAGCAAGGACTGGGCGTGACCCAGTCAAAGCCTCTTCTATCGTCCTCTTCCACCACCCCTAGATGCTCCTCTTCTTGATTGACCAGAGTTCATGTTACTTCCTCTTCCCCAGTTACTCCCACTCCTTCCTCCTCTGGAAGGGTTATTGCCTCCTGTAGGGCCTCCACCGAAAGCTTCATCCCTGTGGAATCCATCGTGGTGGTCTCCATCTAAAGAACTAGACCTCCCAGATTTTGGCACTCTCTGTGAAGGTCCTGAACTTCCTCGTCCTAAAAATGAAGCACAATCAGTTACTGATGTAGTTTAAGCCATGGCTCTGCTCAGACATACCATATATTGAACTAGTTCTCATGTGGTATAATCATTTACAGGCTGAATATAGTTGAGACCTGTAATTTTATGCCTCTTCCCATTATACAGTTTTTCTTTATATATAGATTCAGTATCTGCACGACAGTGCAGAGGATGGGCAGCAGTCAAATTCAAATGGGAATTGAAGGTGATTACGTTTGATACAGTCAACAAGGACTTAAATGAAATAAGGCAGAACAATGATAATCGTGGCTTCCTCAAAACTCCCTGGCATTCCTATCTGTTCTCGTCCCTTAACACCATCCGTGGTTCTTTGCACGCTTTTTTAATTTGCTTGGCATGCTATTCATCATCATCTTTTTCTTAAACACAGACATTGCACTGATTGATCAGTTGAGGCTAGTGATGAAGATAATGAGTAACAACATTACTGATTGATTCTGTTTTTTCTAGAAATAGTAGAAAAATGCTCTGTTTTACTACTAAGTATGAACATAAACTATATTAGAGCTGTCATTGCCAGGAACATGAGGATTGTCTGCTTCTCACTGATCTTTCCAGTACTAGTAAATTAAAAAACCCCAAGTCATTAGCTCAAAGTAACAGAAGTAATACTTTGAAGAAAATAATGGGAAAAGTGCTTTATGGACAAATTTGCTACAGCCAAATTAGGATATTTATGCTCTATTTTAGCAAAAGTTATTTTTGGTTGACTCTGCTTGGTTCTGTGCAAAGTAAGAGACCAGTTGTTCCACAGATTTTATAGTCCATAAAGTTTATATCTCCAAAAGACTTTACCAGTACAAATGACAGGTGACGGAATCCTTGTTTGCAAAAGTGTTGCTCATGTTTCGTTCATCAAGCTTTCTGCCACTGTTCTGAACTTTCTTTGGTACAGTAATGAATTGTCTGGGCACAAGAAGTGTAGCAGATTTAACACCTATTGTAACTTCCGTAAAGCATCTGATAGGGTTGACACAAATTATTAGTGAAGCTAGAGAAGGAATCTTGGAGATTTGTGAAGGAGAAGGTGCTAGCTAAATGGGAAAAACAGACAGTTTTTAAAGGAAAAGTATTGATACAGAGGGAGTTTATCAATGGAATTTTATTAAAAAAAAAAAAAAACAAACTGTGAATGAGGTACTGTCCATACAGAGGAGGACAGGCATATCATTCAGCACTACCTGAGCTTGAGAAATTCAGTGGCAACAAAGGCCAGGCTGTGCAGCTGAGGACTAACAACAGCCTCAACTATAGGTTGGGAGCTCAGCACTTGGAAGCAACCGAGAAGAATCTCAGTCACTGATCACAGTGTAACAATGGGTAGGCTGTATGACGACAATGTTGTTAAAAATAGACAACAGCACGCTTCAGATTTTTAAGAGGAAAAGGGAACAAAAACGGGTGCAGGGCTAGCAGGATGATCGTGGGAACTTTGCACACGCAGTAATATGCTCTGAACTAGCTATTAGACTCCAAAAGAAGGTAGTTTGCGAGTTACAATAGCTAGTTCTTTATCACATTATTGTTCAGTAGTAGTAAAAAAAAAAAGGCAAATATGACACTAGGCGCTATTAGGAAAGAATGGAGAAAATAGAATGCAACAAAGCCAACTATAGAAGTACACGGTTAAACCATATCTTAAAGAGTGCGTGCAATTGCTAGTTATCCCATTTAATTTACAAGAGGATAAATTAAAAAATTAAAACTGGAAAAGGTACAGACAGGTCAAATAAGGATTATAAAAGGTGCAGAACAGCTTCTCACAACAGAACAGATCAGAAGCCTTTAACCTAGTGGAGAGCTAGTTCAGGGTGGAGATGACAGAGTTTGATGCAATTGCAGGTGGCATTCAGAAATAAGAGGGATCAACTTTCCACTGTTTCTTTCAATAAAATCCCTAGACATCACTGAATGGAGCTGGCCACTGACAGGCTTAAAACAGAAGTATTCCCTTTCCCTGTCCCCCCTGCTTTTTTTTTTTTTTTTAAAAAGTAGTCTCCACTGTAGTTAGGTCTATCAGTGTATCAGTGGATGTTGTGCACGTCAAAAGTTTATATGGTTCATAAAGCAATTAGAGCAGCACACAAAAAATAACTGTCAAAAGCAATTAAATATAAAGATAACATTACTAGAAGTCCCTGAACTACAGATCTCCAGAAGTTCAGAGAGCATTTCAGGGACATACCGCTCTCCAGGCTTACTTTGTTCTTACACCCCTCCCTAGCTACCTGCTACTGGCTGTTGTTGGAGACAAGCTATTGCGCTTTATGGACTTCTCCTCTGACCGTGGATGTCCATGCTTACGCTCTTAGAAATTGAGAATTTATAAAGACAGACAAAAAATATCAGAGTCCCTTAGAGCTGAGAAGGGAAAGATTTTATACAAGTTAAATACTAGTAAGACAAAAACCCCTGTTTTAAGTGAAAGCACAAAAAAGAGTATTAACTGACTACAAATTATAAATAACTGATCTGAAAATCAGGAAAAAACGGCTCCTAACGAGTTTTCCAACTGGAGTAATAGGGAGCCAAAAACTTGCTACTTTTGAACAGGAGCACAAGACATTTAAGAAGATTATCTGATGCCCAAAAGAGCAACAAGATCTGGATTTGGAAAAACCCTTCTGCTCACAGCTCCTACAAGATTGGTCTTCAGCTTCACAGTTGGTAAGATTAATTATTTACCATAAAATTCAGTTCAGCTTT